TTAATATTAGCTAAATGTAGGTATTTTGTAGATGTTCAGGTATCTCCACAATTATTATTATTATTATTATCTATATATTTTTGTGACGGTGTAGTATAGGACCCAAAGGCAGACACTGAGGCTGAAGTGAAGTAAAGAGGTTTATTGGAGAAAAGTGGGGATTAGTAGAGAAAAAGCAGTTTAAGAAGAAACAAAACTTAGCAAGAGATGCCAGACAGAATCAGCTAATTACCATCTATTACCAGACGTGGATGTTACTTAAAAATTTACTCAAGAATCGAAGTCTTATACTGAGGAGAGTGATCAGTGAACTAGGTTCTGGTGAGCTTGAATGCAGAATGCGGCAAGGTGAAGTACCAGTCAGCCACAGTATAGAAACTTGGATTCTTGTTTTTGGTAATGATGCATCTAATGAATCTCCAGTCTGTTTTAATGTGTTTTAAAGGGCATAGTCCTTCTCCCGCAGCACACATGAAACCTTTTCTGATATGCTTCCAACATCTCACTTTAACTTTTCTTCACTTCCTCTTAAATGAAAACTATTTTGGGTGAACTTTTTGTCAGACTACTGTCAGTACATCGGTTTGTGGTTGAATCCACCAGCTGCAAGATTGAAAAGGAGAAACACTGAAAGTAAATGGTGGTAATAAAGTTTGTTTATTCTTCCCGTCCTTTCCTGTTTTGTCATTTCTGCTGCTGCTTCTGCGGGGAGACAGGTGGATTGTTTTTTAAAATGGGAAACCAAGGCAACAGCCCACAAAGGAATGATAGTTTCATGCATTCGAATACAACAGAGTATGTTAAAACAACATGGAACCATCGTATAAACACAGCAGAAAAGTTAAAAAGCTCATTTCTATGAGAAAAAAGAAAGCTGTTCATCTTGTGACAAATTCTCAACCCATGACTTCATCCACATCTTGGTCACATGTGGCTTTAGAGGACAATGATCATGTGGTTTGACCAGAACACAGACACTCCTTCAACCAGTGACTATAAAATACCACCATAAAATCCCAGCTTCTGTCCATTCTGTTGTATTGTATTTATATGTCTGCTCACTATACATATCTTAAAGGCCTTTCTGTCCAAAAAGGCCTCTGAAATCTGCTAAGCTCGGCTTTAGTTGTTTCAGACTCCTGATTTTTAATCATGTGCTTTCATGTGATTTCATTTTTATAGTTGTAATTATTCCTTGGAACTTCAATAAAAACACCCTGATGTGCTCTTTTAGCTTCTTGAAGACATTTCACCTCTCATCCAAGAGTTCTTCTTACTGAAGCTCCTACAGTATGATCACCACGACCAGGATGACTGAGAATCTATGCACATATTTGTGATTGTTGTTTTGAAAATGTCTTTATGAAGCACTTTGTGGTCTTTGCTATTCAAATTTAAATTACTCATAAAGGTGCAATGTAAGGGAACCCAATCTTTCATATGAGCTAAAATAGATGATGTCATGCTTTATGGTAACATAAACAAATGTGAAAAAGAGAAATATGTGTGAGCATTTCCTTCACTGACCCTGTATGATCATTACTAAAGGTGCAACATGCAGTTGAACCTTTCCCATAACAAAACTGATGACAAACAAGTGGTGTCTGATCTTAAATTGTACTGCGATCCTTTTTATTATTCAGTCAACATATGATTAAATGTGGCATTAGCTAAAATTAAATAAACACATTCAAAGGTTCTGTTCATAAATGCTATCTAAAGGTGATTTTAACTGACCAGGTCTGTGTGGGCATCATCTATCCTCTAGTCTCTGCTTTGTTTTCAAGGTGGGGCAAATGAAACCATTATTATTGCTATCTCTCTATCATCTCACATAGTTTCCAACATAATTCAACTCACCTTCAGCCAGAACAGATTTAATCAGACAGAAAACACAAAACACTTATGTGAGTGTGAATAGCCTTTGAGTTCTAGTTTAGCTCTGTTCCTCTGTGATTGCACGTGGACAGGTATTATTTTAAGTTTGAGGAAGAGCACACTGATTCAAAAATATGTAAGTAAAGAGAATGAAAACCTCCTCCTATCTGCCTGTTATATTAATGTGAAAGTTTTTCATTTTAAACAGGCTTACCACAGATCACATACAAAACAACAAGTCTGCCATCTAATGGATTGAAAGCATAGTGCAACAAAATTAAACTTCTAAATAAAATCAGACATTGGAGTAACAGACAGAAACAATTACTGAACGTATGTTTTCATTTTTGTTGTTTAAATTAGATGAATTTTTTGTTCTCTTTCAGAGGAAGGTCACAGGTCAGGCTCAGTTCTTGTAAAGCTGAGGTTTACAGTGTGTGGTGCATGGAAACATGAATCCCACGTGCTTTGGAAATTAATATATATATATATATATATATATATAGTAGCTAACATACATACAGGTGTTGCGGAGGTTACAACATAATAAACACACTTGGTCGGGATCACTGCTTCTTGGTCTTCCTTTATTGTGTGCAAGAGAAATAACTTTACAGGAGAACTGCAGGCAGGCTGAGGTCTGAAGCTTAGTCACAATGTGCAGTCTCATGTAGGCATAGACAGGATAACATAGCATGAGGGAGTGTGTAGAGATATCTGTCTGAAACGAGAAATGACCGTTATTAGATCCTAGAAAAGGGAGGAAGAGGAGCAGAAAGTCGAGGT